CGTCTTCCTCGCCCTTCCCTGTCTTCGCTTTCTCCGTGCCGTCTCGCCCTTGACACTGTGCCTTGTTGTTCTGACCCCCGCCGCGCCCTGGAAATCGCGCCGTCGGCCCCATGTGCTGCCCGTGCTCGTGCGCGGGCCCGCGCGACAGCAGGCGGGTCGCGAGTTGTCGGGCCTTCCTCTGATGGGGGCGACCCCCGCGCCGCGGGCGCGCCGCCCCGCGCGCCCGAGGGGGCGGGGGAGTACTTGGAAGGACCTGGTCGCGTGGCCCTCCTCTCGCCCTCTTGTCCGCTTACCCTCGGAATGCCCCTGCCCCGTCCTCCCCTCCGGCTGCCAGAGACGCCGGCGGGGCGTCGCGCGGCCCGCTGGGCGGCCCTGGCTGGGGCCGTGGCTGGGCGGCGGCGCGGCGTTAAGGGCGCCGGCGCGTCGCCGACCGACCTTTCTGCGGTGCAGCGCGCGCTCTGGCCGCTGGCCGAGCGGCGGGCCGCTGTCTCGCGACCGCCCTGGCGCTCGATTTGTGGGGCGAGCTCCGCGCCGCCGCGCCCTCCGGTCAGTTGTGAAGCCGTGCTCGCCGGGCATTGGTCTGGGGGAGGGGGCGAGTCTTCGCTGCCGCGCCTGCTGCCAGATGGCGCCAGGTGCGCCGCGTGGTCTCGGGCTCCTGCAACACCTTCGATGCTGTCGGCTGGGGCGCCGTGGGGCCATTCCGTTGGGTTAGCGCCGCAAGGGGCCCGCGCGCCTGCGACGAGGCCTCTCTGGGCGAGGGGCAGTCGGTAGACTCTCGGGGTCCGCGATGCCTTATCCGCAGCGCTGGCCACGCGGGCGCGGCGGAAGGCGGCGGCCCATTGAATGGCCGCGGCTTGGAGGGCGGCTGCGGGCGGTCGCAGGCCATGCCCTTGCGCGACGAACTGTCGTCCCTGGCGAGCTGGGGGCGATGCGCGCGGAGATGGTTGGCTGGCTCGTGGGCGCGTGGGCGCGTCGCGGATGGCGGCCCGGCGCGCGCGTTGCCCTTGCGCCAGCTTTGTGACATTGGCGTGGCCGAGACCGATTGGCGTCGCTGCTGGGTGCCCATCCAACCAGAGCTTGGACGCGTGCGCTCCGTCCGCGCGCTTCCGTGGCGACGCGGAGTAGTGGGTGCGTGAGTGGCCGCGCTTCTGGCTCCGCGGGCTCGCCCGCTTGGCTAGGGCCGACGTCCCAGAATCATCCGACATGGAAGACGTCGCGCCCCGGCGGCCGCGTCAGCGCCTCTGGCGGCGCGGCGGTGCTCGCCTTGAGCGATGCCTCTGGAGGCGCGTTATCAGCCGCGCCCGCGCTCCGCTGCGCGGGGCCTGGGTGCGCGTGGCTGCGCTGTCGAGCTGTCGCCGATGACCTCGCGCCGGGCGTCGCTCCAGGGTGCCGGGCGCGCTGGCGGGGCCGAGCAAGCGCGGCGAGCTTCCCTTGCCGTCTGGGAGGACAGCCCCGCCGCGCGGTTGGCCCGCTTCGCTGCGGTCAGCTCGAGCGCAGTGCAGGGTTTCTGGCGCGCCGCTCGGCGAGGGGCCGCGTTCTGGGCGCGGAGCTCGTCGCGCCCTGCGGGCCGGGTCCAACGTTGGCCCCCTGGGCGCTCGTGGGCGCTGGGCTCGCATGGCCTGCGCGCGAGGTGCAGGTTTCGAAGGGGCCGCTGGGCGGTCCGTCAGAGTGGCGCTGGGGCCTGGTTCAAAGCACGCGGGCGCCCTCGCTGGTGATGCGGCAGCGCGGGCGCAGCTCCCCGAACGCGCTGGTCGCGCGGTCGATCTTGGAGCTGGAGGCGCGGGCCGCCATCGCGCTGGGGCGGCCGGGCGCCGTCGCGCTGGATGCTGCCTGGCGGCGCCCGCAGCGCGCGCCGCCTGGCGCGCCGCAACTCCGCCGCTCGACGTGGGCGACCTGGCCGGTCCCTTTCGGCTTCGCGAATGCGGCCTCCACCCGCCGCGCGTCCGTCGGTCCGACCTGGATGGGGTGCGCCTGCTGCGGCGCCGCCCGTGCGCTGCAGCCCCTCCATCGCGCCTTCGCCCAGCTCGGTTCGGCGCGCCGCGGGCCAGCGCGCTCGCGGCCCGCGCGGCCGAGCGACGTCGGGTGCCGTGGGCCTGTCGAGCTTGGGCGTTTTGCGTTTCGTCCTTTTTGCGGTCCGTTCTTCCGCGAAGCGTGCCGCCTCTGCTTCTGCGCGGGGTGTGGCGCGGCCGACCCCTCCCAGGTCCGCGCCCTGCGAGGGCCCTGTCGACGCCAGCTTGGCTAACGGGCGCATGAATTCATTGCTTGGGGAAAGACATGTGTCCAGGGCACTTGGCTGCCGCGCGAACAGCCCGCAGAAAGAAGGCCTTTGCGGCCGCGCCTGCGGGGAAGGCTGCGTTCCAGCGTGGGCGAAGGTGGGCCAGGTTGCAGCCCGGGCTCCCCGGCGGTGGCCTGGGCGGAGTGGCGGGGGCATCTGTCTCCCGCCCACGCGTCGATGTTGTGCCTTGATGCGCTCCGGCCGCCCTCGGAGTGCGCTCCGCCCCTGCTATTTGGACAGTGGGCCTGGGCGCGCAGGCTTTTCGGGCGAGGATCGCCCGGCCGTGGGGCACAGCGCCCAAAACCTCCTGCGCGGCCCGACTTTCGCTCGGCCCCCGGTCGCCAGGCGCCCTCCTGCGGGCCCTGGCGCGCCCCTCATGAGGGGCGCTTGCGCCGCCCCGCCTCGCGAGGTGGGCGCGACGTCGCCCTTGGCTCGCAGTCGGCGGCGGGCTGCGATTGCCGCGGTCCGACATGCGCAGCGGGCGGCCCGCGCGCTCGCCGCAACGCTCGGGCGGTTGCCTTGCGCGCGGACAGCGCAGCCGCCCATCGAGCGCATCGCCCACCTGTCGGCGGCGGATGGGGCGCAGTTGGCTGGCTCGGGTAATCCTGGGCTGCTTTGGCGACGCGCCCGCGGCTCGCGCGGCCCCTCGCTCACGCCGCGCCCCTCGGGCAGCCGCTGGGGGCGTTCTTCGCGGGGCCGCCAGTGCAGCGTCTCGTTTGCAGCATGTTCCTCGCCCTGTTCCTGGGCCTCGCGGGCGCAGGTTTCTGGGGATCTCTGCTGCTCGTGCTTGTGCTTCGCTTCGTCGCGGTGTTCCTGGGCCTTGCGATCCTGGCAGTCGCGCTGGTGTCTCTCGTCGCCCTGTGCCCGCGCCACGCGGGCGCGCGTTCGAGGGCCTGTCTGCTGCTGGTCCAGACGCTCATCCTCGCCGCGCTGCTCGGGGCCTCCGTGATGATGCGGGCGCCGTCTCGCTACGTGGTGGAGCTGGTCCTGCGTTTCGGGGGCTTCGCGGTCCGTGTCGCGGGGGTGATGCAACGCTTCCTCGCCCTGTGCTTGGGCCTCGGCCTGGCGGGTCTTCCTGGAGGTGCGGCTCCCCGCCCCCTTCGTGGCGATCTACCTGGTCATGTGGATCTTCAGGGTCGTGCGGATTCTCTCGAGGGCTTTTCAAGCCCGACGGTGGCGTGGGGCTTGGCGGCAGCATCTCGGCCGCAGCCTCCTCGCCTTTCGATTTCTCTGCCCCGGAGGCGACGTGGGCGGCGGCTGCGAACGAGCTCTTCGGGATCTTTGCGCTCTCTTCTGATGAGGGCGGGATGGCCATAGTCTCTGATATGCTGCGGGCAGATAGCCTTGACGAGATTATGTGCCCGCCCTCTCTCGATCGATCGGGTCAGCCCAATGCGGCTTGCTTGGATCTTCAGCCCCAGCAGCCAGGGAGGGGCTTCGGTGGACTTCCCCTCGCACGGAGGGGGGCGCAGCCTGGCGGATAGCGCGCGGTGTGCTGTCCCAGGTGATGTCGCAGACCTGGTTCAGGGCATTTCTGAGTGGCATCGGTGGACTTGCTGCGTCTTGCGGGAGGCGCGGCCTCACGAGCTGTGCGGTCCCAGGTGGCGCCGCACACCTCTGCTCCCAGGGAGTGGCTTCGGTGGGCTCCCTTCGCTTTGAGGGGGGCACAGCTTGGAGGATGGTGCATAGGACTGCCCCAGGTGATGCCGCAAACCTGTCTGGAGCTCTGGGCTGACGGTTTCCCTGCGCCAGCCAAATTTCCTTTTCCCTTCCTCATTCTTGGGTCTGGGCGCTCTCCCCGCGATCCCTCGGGTGGGGGTGCGCGTCGCTGACAGACTCCGATGCGGGCGTCTGGCCCTGTCTCCTTATTCTGTTTCGGGAAGTGCACCGCGCGCCCGCTCCAGCTAGTGTTGTATCCTCCTCGTCCTCTTCCTCCTCCTCGTCCTCCTCCTCCTTCTACTCCTCATCCTCCCCTCCCTCCCCTTCCTCCTTCCCTTCCCCTCCCTCCTCCTCCTCGTCCTCCTCTTCCTCCTCCTCCTCTGTCATCCCTTTTTCCTTATGACTATTCCCTGTGGCGCCCCGAAGCCAGTCTTTAGGGCGGGCCGGGCGTTTCGCTCAATATCTTCACCGTTTATGATCCCAGAGCTTACGCATTGGCAACAGTTTCAGATGTGGAGGGCGGGCCGTTTTCAACATTGTTCAAGCGCCGCGCGCAGTCCCACGGATTGAGTGCGAATGGTTTTCAAAATGTGGCTGTCGCCTTAGCGCGGCGCACATTCGTTCTAAACGTTTGCCGAAGTGTCACGGGTTCCCATGGTCAATGTCCTAAAACTAGCGTTTTGAAAACATTCCGGATTATGAGGGCGCAACAGTTACGTTGATTCGCGGTGTTGAAACTCCACGAACGGCGTTCTGGCACGATTCAGCATCGCCACGACGCACCAATCCAGTTGATCCGTGGCGTTGAAATCCCAGGTGGCAATGTTTTGGCATGCTCCAGGGTCTTTCCAAACGGTTGTCTTCCAACGAGGCAGTTCCCTCAATGGGAATGAACCGTTGTGGGGGCCTATAAGAGAGAAAGCTTGGAGGAAGGGTTTCTTCCAACATCGTTGATGACGCTTGGGTTTGCACTGGTCCTCCTCCTCCTCCTCCTTCTCCTTCTCCCGTTCCCCCCTGATTCCCTGCCTTGCCGTCCCCCTTCCCCCACCGACCCCCCCGTTACCAGGGCCTTCCGTCTGGCTCCTTGAAGTACATATCGCCCTTGTCGGATCCGCCCAGCATCAAGGACGGGTGGGGAGCTTTTCCCCCGCTCATTGTTGGGAGGGAAGGGGCGGGGAGGGAAGGGGAGAACGATTTATAGGGGGTCAGTGACGGCGGGGAGGGGAAAGGGGAGGAGAAGGGAGGAGATGAGAGGAGGAGGTGAGAGGAAGAGGAAGGGGAAGAGGACCACGACGAAGAGAATTTCACCGAGGGTGGTGGGTGAAGATCAGGAGGATCATCAGGATGAGAAAAGGGGAGAACATTGACGGAGGAGGAGTTATGCGGAAGGAGGTGGCGGAGGATAGGGGTTACGATGCTGGTGGCGACGCCGACGACGACGATGATGACGATGATGGTGATGATGACGACGATGACGATGCTGATGTGATGATGATGATGATGATGATGATGATGATGATGATGATGATGATGATGATGATGATTTGTGCGGATGCGGATGCGGATGCCGATGCAGATGATGCTGTTGCTGTTGTTGTTGTTGTTGTTGCTGTTGATGTTTTGCAAAACAATGATGTGCGATGACGACTGCAATGATGATGATGATGATGATGATGATGATGATGATGATGATGGTGGTGGTGGTGATGATGATGATGATGATGATGGTGGTGGTGATGATGATGATGATGATGATGATGATGATGATGATGATGATGATGCTGATGATGATGATGATGATGATGATGATGATGATGATGATGATGATGGTGATGACGACGACCCTTTTCGATTCCGATTGCGTGCCGATGTGGCCCCGTCCGATGCTTACTCCGATCCTATCCGATTTCCATTGCCCGATTCGAGGCGGACTGACCCTGCATCCTGGGGCCAATCCCACCGCGGCACGGTTCTCGCCCTTGCGTGGGACCGCCCGCTCTCGCACCGCCCGCTAAACCCGACGCCGGCGCAGAGAGAGCGAGAGAGAGAGGGCAGGGCGCCCAGAGAGCAAATCCCCTGTCGCGTGGCGCCCACGGGCCCTGACGCCGCATGCTTGCGAGTAGGCACGTCGAGGTTTCCGAGGTTTCCGAGGTTCGAGGATTTCGAGGTTCGAGGATTTCGAGGTTCTCGAGGTTCTCGAGGTTCTCGAGGTTCGAGGATTTCGAGGTTCGAGGTTCGAGGATTTCGAGGTTCGCGGTTCGACGTGTGCGTGGGTCTCTGCCGGCTTTCCACGCGTATGCGTTCAGGCGGCTGCGCCTCGCTGAGAGGCGTTGGGGGGTGCCCGGAAGGTCCCGGACGGCCGCTGGAAGCCCGAGTTGTGGCTGGAAAGCCATCGGGGACTGGCGCAGGGGGGGGAGGCGTCGACCTGGAATCGGCGTTGCATCGCTCGTGCATCGGCGATGGTCCCCCGATAGCGAGTCCGCGCGTCCCTATGCGGGGTGGGCTGTCAGTCCCTGGCGGTGATGACTGGGCGAGGGGGGGGTCGATGCGTCTCCCCCTGAGCCTATCCCCCCCTATCGTTGCACCTGGGCCTCGGTGGCGCCGGGCAGGGCCTCCCCCACTGGCCCGGGCGATGGGCCGGTGCGCGCGCAGAGGTCTGAGGCGCCTTCGGGGTGGGCATCGTGGTTGTCTGTTGGCGGTGGTCTGTGCGGTTGGCTTCTCCGTTGTAGGCCTCCAGATGGGGTCCGAGTACATGGGGTCGGAGGATCGCGCCGCATCGCCGATGCATCGGCGATGCGGCTCAATGTGCAGCCCGATTTTTTCCACGCCGACGTCGCCGATGCATCGCCGATGTCGACGTTGCATCGCCGATGTATCGCCGATGCATCGGCGATGCACTGGCGATGCGGCGCGATCCTCCGACCCCATTTACTTGGAACCCATCTAGGAGGTCCGTGGCCTTAGCACGCCGCCTCTCTTTCGCTCACCTCCCTTGCTCCTTCTCCCCCTCCTACTCCAAGACATGCCATCTTCTTTGACTGCATTGACTGCTGCTTTCATTCCAATCCCAATAGCGAGTGTTGTCACATCTTTTTGTTGTGCCATAGGCGTGGAGGGGGGGAAAGGCAGGGCTCCTTTGCGCCGTTCGACCTGGCTAACCTGACCTCGTGCTCCGTCGCCTTCCTGCTGCTGCTGCTGCTCCTGCTGCTTCTCCTCCTCCGCCCTCGTGCTGCTGCTTGCCCGCCCGCGTTCCCGTCGCCCTGTCGTGCCTGGAGACGGGGGCGGCAGGACCGCATACTGCTGATCGCCGGGCCCGACAAGGGCAAGACTGGCATGATGATCGGCCGGGATCGGGTGTGGCGGCGGCAGCCAAGCTTCCTCCTCACAGGTAGCTCCTTCTCCATCCCTCTCTGTCCGCCTGTTCAGCCAAGCCTTCTCCTCCATCTCTTTTCTTTGTGGCGAAGTCTCGCCGCACCGCCAGACGTTTGTGTTGGGCGGTCCTTGCGACTTTCCCTGTATTCCCTCTCATGCTCCTCGAGCGATCTTTCAATAATCGCACCGATGCATGGCTGACTGGAAGACGGGTCTGAGAACGAAATGACCTCAAGCGGGACATCGGTATCAGTTTCCGTCTGTGCGTGCGGGCGTCGCGAAGCTGCGCGAGGGCGACGATGTGGCGGTCGCTGCTGGGGCTAAGTCGGACAAAAAGGGTCTGTTCCGTCTTGTGGAGGAGGTGCGCTGGGTTGACCCGTGGGTTGTGCCGTGGTTGTCCCTTCGTTGTCCTGTGGAGGTCTGGTGGGTTGTCTCGCCGTTGTCCCGTCGGTTGTCCTGTAGTTGTCCCGTGTGTTGGAGCTCCAAGAGGGCCTCAAGACAACCCCAGAAGTAAGGGGACCACAATAGGTTTCTGACTTGCATTAGTGGGACAACAAATCCATCTCCACAGGCATCCAACCGCCCTTGTTGCGTGGCTAGGCGCTAGGCGAGGGGGAGGTCTTCGGGGTGGGGCGGGGGGGAAGCTTTTCCCCGAAGCCTTCGGGGAGTGGCGGAAATCGTCATGCACATCAAATTCCAATCGAAGTGCACATCGACATGCAAGTCGAATTGCGAGTTAGTTCATCACCCCAAACCTCCTTGTCACCCAAAGGGTGCTCTATTTGATAGTTATCTCCTTTTTGGTGCCGCGTACATGTTTGCCAACATAACTTCTATTCACATCGGCCCCTCATCCTCCTCCGCTTGTTCCTCACCCTTACTCTCGCGCGAGTCTTCTCTTTCTGGCATCCTCCTTCTTTCTTCATCCTCCCCTGTACTTGTTCCTTGAACCTCGCTCCTTACTCGTCATTGATCTGTTGCTTCCATCTTTCATCAATCATCCTTTCTTCTCCCTCTCTACCTGTTCTCTCCTTTCCTCTTGATCCATTCCCCCGTGCTCTTCTCCTTCTTGAGGAGTGCGCCATCCTGTGGGAAAGCTGGGGACGTCCCTGATATCTTCTCGCGGCATGTATCAACTTCATGAACTATGCAAAGCGTACCTCATTCCTCCATCCTTCATCAATGTTTCGGCCTTCCTCCGTTAGCGCCGCCGTTCCCGCGCAGGAGTTCGCCAAGGACGCGAAGGACGAGAAACCGGCGGGGGGTGGTTTCCGAGGATGATAAAGAGTATGGCGCGGGTGAGCATATGGAGGAGGGGTAGGAAGAGGAGGGGGAAAGACATTATCCAGAGGGAAGCAGAGGGAGGGGAATCTGCCAAGCTAAGTGCGCTCGCACCACGTCTGACATCATACCTCCTACTCCAATCCCTTCCCATTGAGCTGCTTTTCCTCTATCCGCGGACGCGTGTCTTAGGCGACTGGGAATTCAACGCAAACACCATCGTGTTATGTGCAATCGGAAGTTGGAAACTGCGTACGCACGAGGAGGCGGCGGGCGAGCAGGAGGATGAGCAGGAGTTTCGAAGTCACGGACATTGCCACTAGGTCGGTGACGATATACGTTAAGTCGTTTCTCGTCTGGCCTTTTGGGCTTTGCTGTAAGCCTTAGGTAAGACCCCTCTTTCGATTCTGGAAGGGTAGTCTTCGCGATTGCCCTCTGGTCGACGTGGCCATGGGTCTCCAAGCTTTGCCAAGTGTTGGGCCGCGAATGGTCCGCATTAGCCACAACGCAAAATCCCCAGCCCAGCGTGAATTTGAATTGATGGGATGTGTGCAGGATGATCAGGAGGAAAAGGAGTATGGGACAGGAGGAGGACGAGGGCACGCAATAGCAGCAGCAGCAGCAGTAGCAGGAGCGGGAATGAAGGAACTGGAGGATCAGGAGCACCAGGGGAAGGCGGAGGAGGGGAAATGAGAGGGGCGACAACGATGGGGGGAGGGGGGATGAGAGGGAGCAGTGGAAATGAGAGGGACTCGGACAGTCTGAACGACGGGAGCAAAACGACGGTCCGCAAATGAGGTCCACGCTGCAGCGAGATCACCGCTTGGAAACACTGCAACATCCGGATGGTCAGCCAACGAGACAAACAATTCCTGTCACATCCTCAGTGTATGAAGCAATACGCGGAGTTGTCTGGCCATCTTCTGTACTGAGCCAGGGGAGAGATGAGAGTAGAACTCAGATTGGTTAGGTGTCGAGGGCGAATGGGAGGGCGGAGGGTTAGAGGGATGAGTGGATACTTAGATTTATGAATGGGGTTTGCTTTGGTTTTTTCAAGTACCCTGGAGATGAGGACAATGATGGTCATGCTGATGGTGACGAACACATCTTGGAGGGAAAGAAGGGAGGTGGAGGAGAAACGGGGGCTGGATGGGGAGAGTGGAATACAATATGATATATATATATATATACATATATATATATGCAGGTATGCGCGTATGTGTGTAAATGTACCTATACGGCCACCTTCGTGAGATAAGGAGGTTGGGGGGTGGGGTGGGGGCAAGGGCGAAAGAACCAACTGCTGGCAAATGCGATGGATGTGACGATGCCGATGCTGGTGGCGCGCCCTCGCAATAGGGACGACGCGTGCTGACGATGTTGCGCTGCGATGTAATGTCACTATCGTCCCCGCTTTCGATCTCATTCGATCGATCCCATGATCGATCTCACATTATCGATCTCACTCGGCGGATCTCACTACAGATCCCACGTTCGATCTCACTATAGATCTCACTATTGATTCCACTATTGGTATTCGATCTTATCGATCTCACTCTCGATCTTACTAAATATTCCTAGATCTCACTGTGATCTCACTTTCGATCTCACGATCCATCTCATTCAAGCGATCTCATTACCGATTTCACGATCACCATTACTATCGATACCAAAGGTGGGACAGCCCTGGCCACGGCCCGCCCACCGCCGACGGAACACCGACGGCGGGACACCAACGGGGCACCACAGGACACCACGGCGGGACAGCCGGGGCCCACCGCGAGCCCATCGGTGGCGGAGGGGCGGTCCACCGCATCGGAATCGCCTCAGCGATGGCGGGGTCATTCCCCTCGCGCGCCCACGCAGCTTCGCGTCGCCCGCACGCACGACACGAGCACGAAACCGACACCTATTTCCCGGTGGGGGGCTCTTCGCATTGGTAGATAGAGAGAGAGAGAGAGAGAGCAAAACAAAACAAATGAGAGAGAGCGAGGGAGGGAGAGAGGGATATAGAGAGAGAGGGAGGGAGAGGTCACACACACCACTCACAGCCCGTTGCCATTCCATTTTGATGTTCCGACGTTCGATGGCACACGCATGTTGCAGTCTGACACGGAGGGAGGGCCGCTCCGTCTCAAACGAGTGATCTCGCTCGACAGGTTGTCAATTGTCTGAAATTCTAGGCCTCCTAGATGGGGTCGGAGCAGATGGGGTCGGAGGATCGCGCCGCATCGCCGATGCATCGGGGATGCATCGGCGATGCGGGTTCGATGTGGGGCCCAACTTTCTCCACGCCGACGTCGCCGATGCACCGCCGACGTCGCAAGTGCATCGCGGATGCATCGGCGATGCATCGCCGATGTATCGGCGATTTGGCGAGATCCTCCGACCCCATCTACTCGGACCCCATCTAGGAGGCATCTAGAAATGGTTGTTCAGATGGTCTCTAGTTGGTAGGTGCGCATATGGAGGGCGATGCCTTGCCAACATTTGGCTATCGCGGCACTGGCAGCCTCACGGGGCGGCTCGTATTTCAAGGGGGTTGGTTTCCGGCAGTGACGAAGGGGATTCTCGCAGGGACCTGTTAGGCGGGGGCTTGGGATGGGAAGGTACGATGACAGCATTGCCGATGCACCTTGGGCTTGCTCTGGCCCTCCTGCTCTTGCTCCTCCTCCTATTCCTCCTCATCCACGCCCCTTTCGTTCTCAAGCACCGGTGGCCCAAGGCATCGTACCCTGTGGGGCTCGATCTTGCCATGGGGCGCCCAGCCCACTGCCTTCTCGTTGGCGCTTCGGGGGCTTCCACCCAATATCAGCATTTCTTGGTGGCCATTGGCGTGGCATGGCGAGAATGGGCGAACTCAAATGTAGTTTTGAATATTTCAACGCAGTGGCAGGAGGGTCATTCTTACAGCGACTGGGTTCTCTTTTGGTTGCTGAGTGCGCATATCCCGAACATCGTGTTCAAGGTACCATGGCAGATAGGGCTTTCATTACGTTCACTCTGAGGGCGTGGCTCACGGCTCTGGAAGTTTGGCACCTCACACATTTTTTCTTTGTACTTCATCAAATTGGATCTGGTCTGGTAGTTGCTTTTCGCCTGTCCCACCTGTTCTAGTTCCTGCTCTACTCACCTGCAGGAGGCCGCCTATAGGTTTGTCGTATATTTCGCGTGTTCAGTTCTCTGGGCATGTCTTATTTGTTTATGGTTGCTCATGCAGGCTTCCACATAGTTATTGTTTGTGCATGCTACAGCCACATAGCACACTTCATCAGCTTCAGTGCAGGCATCTTCTTTATCCGCCAGGGGAGGGTGTGTCGGTTGCTTCTAGTGGCGGGAAGATTTCGTTCGCTGGTCGCTACATACGTACAAGGCAGGCAGTTATTCTCATTGTGCCTGGCCACGCCGTATTACGCATTTGGTGAGATCTGCGCACCTTGGTGGTCCGGGGGGGGGGGTTTACACGTTGTGTTTGAGCTTCATATTTCATCCTGTCAACTGCCCGCGTCTCATCTAATGAGTGTTACGCTCTGGTGCTCATCTCCCCGTGCGGAAAAGAAAAGGCCCGAAGGACATGCCATTGTTCGTTCTACTTGATACGGTGAAGTTTTTTCTCAAGTTCGGGTGCTCCTGTGGCGGGTGGCGTTGTGACTTATCACGTCTCGTCGCTTGTGGTGCTGTTGTGCGTTGCAGTGAAGTTGGCGTTGCGGCGCTGCGGTTTCCACAAGTATGGCTTGCAGTCTTCGGGCAGATGTTCCTCCAGGTCGGGCGCCTCATGTTCCTTGCCCCCAGCGGATCTTCAAGGTCAGGGGGCGTTGCGTTTCGGATCTGGCATGGTATTGGCGTCCACTCCACTCCGCTCCAAGCCCTCATTCGTTCCTCTCCTCCCCCTGCCTCCCCTCCCCTCTCTCCCTCCCCGTCCTTCCCCTCCCTCCCCCGCCCTTCCCCTGCCCTTCCCCCGCCCTTCTCTTGCCCCTCCCCCCTGCCCTTGCACCCCTCCCAATCTCGTCCCCTCCCACCCCCCTATCCCGCCTCCCATCCCGCACTATCCTCCTTCGACGGCGTCGCGGGCGACACTGGTAACGACGACGGCAGAAGAGGGTGCCGAGGGAGAGAAAAGGAGAGAGAGAGAGAGAGAGACAGAACGAGAGAGAGAGAGAGACAGAGAAAGAAAAAGAGAGAGAGAAAGAGAGAGAGAAAGAGAGAGAGAGAGAGAACGAGAAGCGTTCCCCTGTCTTTTCGGTTGCCTGAGGGAGGGGCCAAGGTGAACGCGTACGTGAAGTTCGACGGGGGGATCGGCGAGGGCGCTGGGAGACTCCAGGAAACCGACGGGGAAAATGAGCGCAAGGAGGGATGGGAAGGTGGGGGGGAGGGCGAGGAGAGAGGATGTGGGAGGTGGGGTTTGGCGGAGGGGGGGAGGGGGGGAAGGCGACGAGAGAGGATGATAGTGGAATAGGGGGGGGGACTGGAGGATGAGGGAGGAGGACTCGCTGTCCGTGTCGTTGCGGGCGTGACCCATCTGAGGCAAAAGGTCGCATGCCAAACGGCCTTGCTGAAGGTTTCGGAAAACGTCTGCTGTTGGGCAGACTGCCCATTTTCCCATACCATTCTTGGGCGTGCCAATCCCAGTGTTGGTTCTAACGTATGGTGGCTTTTAGTTGCTCTCGGTGGCGTCTTGTTGTGTTTAGTGGCTGGTTTCGGCGGTCTAGTGGCCTCTAGGCACCAGTGGCGGCTTTCAGTTGTTTGTTAGTTTGTTATGTTGTCATGTATTGGTTGTGTGTGTTCAGGGGGGACACCCGGATCCCGTACAAACCACTGAAGGGAAACATGTATGTCAAAATAACAGGAAGTCAAGCTCGTGCCGTACGGCTTCGTGGCGAAGCAGATCGCGACATCGTAGCATTGTTTCCCCGAACCTCTTTCTCCTCCTCGTTTTTTTCTCTCCCCATCTCTCTCTCTCTCTTACTCACACACGCACTTCCTATCTGTACATAGAAGCATGTATCGAAGGTTTGGGGGATCGGAGTGAAACGGAGTCGCCACATTGGGACATATTTCGGTGTCGGCTCGTGTCGTGCGTGGCGTGTGTGCGTGCGAGGCGAAACGAAGCTGTTCGAGCTCCTGCCATGGTGGCAGCCAAATCAGGCAACACCGAGGCGCCCTGGCCCGGGCGTTGGGCGGTGGTTGTCCCGATGGTTGTCTCGATGGTTGCCTCGATGGTTGTCCCGATTGTTGTTCCGATGGTTCTGCGAGGCTATAATACAAAACAATTTCTCCTTGCGAGGCTATGATACCCCCACAATGCGCCCTGCGGGGCAAGCGTATAACACATGTCCGACAGCGATGCTTATCGTTACATTGTGATGTATAGACATACGTGGAGGGTCAATGACACACACACACACACACGCACGCGCCTCTGTGTGTATGTAAGTACATGGGTAGATCGACGCACGTTCGCGTTCCCCAAACAGTGCTGACACTTATGATTTTTTACGCCTCTTCTTAGGAACTGGGCCCAGGTGCGATCCCGGCGGCCCCTTTCCCGTCACTGGCCGCACACTTTTTCCTAAAGACGGCCCGTGCCCTGGCGTCCCCGTTCCCGCCTGTCGCCGCCGCCCCGTTGCGCCCCCCCCCCCGTTGCATTGCAATAGCATCGCGTTGCAATTGCACTGCGTTGCATTGCATGGCAATCGCATTGCTTTGCATTGCAATCGCATTGCGTTGCATTGCATATCGCATTGCCTTGCACTGCTCTGCATTGCTTTGCATTGTTCTACATTGCTTCGCACTGCTTTGCATTGCTTTTCATGTCTTTGCATTGCTTTGCGTTTCGTTGCATTGCTTTGCAGTTTTAACACCACGTAGACTGCACCACATGAATTGCACCACCTAAGTTGTACCACATGGATTGCACCACATAGCTTGCGCCGCATAAGTGGCAAGGAATCATCGTTTTGGGACCACGCCAGCTAATCTACGGATACACATACTTTTGTCTATGTAAGCTATTGATATACAGGTGGGATTATGGAGTCACCTTCCAGTTGTCCCGATGGTTGTCCCGATTGTTGTCCCGATATGTAGCTAGTGATATCGACCGCAAGGTAGATAGTGAGACCGATCAAGAGGTGGACCAGTAGGTGTATATATATATGTATATATGTGTGTAGATATTTGTGGATACGTGTAAACCTATACACTATATATATGTACACATATATATTTATATAGCGTATAAACAAAGGGAGAGAAGAGAGATAAAGAGAGAGAGAGAGAGAGAGAGATACAGCGAGAGAGGGACAGATAAAGGGGGGATAGAGAGAGAGAGAGAGAGAAAGAGTTGACACGTGATGGCCGCTTCCCTTGTTTCGGTGCAATCCATATGGTGTGGTGCCATCGAGTAGTGCAATGAACACATGGAGTTATCACCTCGCGCAATCATCACACCCACCCGCCCGCCCGCAACTTGGTTTGAAACCAAGGAGGCGTCAATTGTGATGCCTGCTCGCCGCTGGCTGGCGCATCGCTGCGGCCGCGCTAGCGCGCTTAGGCTTGCGCGCAGGGTGGCCAGCTAGTCTGGCGCGACTGACGCGGCCGCGGTGGCGCTGACCGCTGGGGACTTCCCAGGAAGTCGCACGGGCCGCGCTGACGCGCGGGCAATCCATTGAGAGTCGATGGGCTGGGCGGGTGCGGCATCATGACGACGTCGACAACGGCAGGCGCGCTGATGACTGCAGCGGTGCTGGTGACGACGGCGACGATCACGACGGTAAGGCACACGACTGCGCCGATGCTGGTCACGCCGATGACGATGCTGATGCTTGCGCGTCGGTGATGCGCGCGCGCGGCCAAGGGGCGCGAGTGGCCCGCACGATTGTGTCTGAAGGACTGTCCCCCGCAAGCGCGCGCGCTAACGCGTTCGAGAGATTTCGGCATGGGCGCGCGATGGGTCCGTCTGGCTGCATTCGATAAGCTTGTCGACACACCTGTGATTTTCTTGCGAGTTCGCACTGGCGCGCGCGCAGACCCATTTCATCATAACTGATGTTGTGCAATCATGCGATTACATATTTTTTGGGGCGCTCGGTTTTGGCATCTTTGCAAAACCTGTTATTTTTTGGTTGAAGGATTCTGGCATGCGCGCGCGATGGTGCGCGCGATGATGCGTTTCGCCGCTTTCTTGGCAAGGGATGTTTGAAAAAAAGGCTGATTTGTGTGATAAACGATTGCGCGTGCTAAGCATTTGTTGCCGAGAATGGTTGGGGGTCGAGCCAGGCTTGGTTGAAATCGCACGAACTCATACTTAGAATGGACTATGGGGCATATTCGGATTTACATTGCTCTTCCACTGGGGGGATATTCCCGGGGGAGGGTGGGGTAAATCCTAATGTGCTGTGAGCAAGAGAACCTACGCAGTACAACCTACGAGGTGCGAGCTGTACTTGATGATGCAATCTGAGTGGCGCAGCGTGCGCAGTGCGATCTCTGTGCGGTGCGAGCTATAGAGCGGTGCTGTCCGTGCAATGCAGTCTATGTGGTGTTTCTGTTGCATCTTCGGGGGACCTCGCCTGTTCCCCAAATGGGTGCCTTTTTGGGGGCCCGACGCGGGCTCGATGCGGACTCGACGCGGATTCGGCGTGGATCCGACGCGGATTCGACACGGATTCGACACGGATCCGACGCGTCCGACATGGATTCGACACGGATTCGACGCGGACAGGGCCGCGACGGGACAGACAAGGTCCCCCGAGGATGCAACATAATGGTGTGGGCTGGCCGGTGCAGCGGGTGCGGTGCCGTTAAGACCGTGACCCAACATCGTACGGTGGCGATGGGCGGCGACGGGGGGCCACCGGCCGGCCCGAGTGGGCGTACAGTCCCGGCTGCGGGCCTCGCACAAAGCGGGAGCGGGACCACAACGCTGCGGCCACAAGCCGGCCGTACCGACGCACAGGCCAAGCTTGTTACAGGGAGAGGGAGAGGGCAGAGCCTTTGGGTGCAAACATCGTTGGGGGTGCACTTCAGTCTATAGTTTTTCCAAAAGCATGTTCTTTAGGTGCAAACATCGTTTGGGGTGCACTTCAATCTATAGTTTTCAAAAACAGGATTTGAAATCTGTGTGTTTCTGTAAGAACGAGTTTTGTATATTCTTCGAATTTCAGCGCGCGCGCTTCCTCAGCACCCTCATCAGGGCTATCGAGTCTCCGCCGGTTTCGTCATTGCCAACAGCCGCCATTGCCGCCGTCATGGACACAATCAATTGCATCACCGACACATGGACGTCATCACCGTCATCTTCGTCACGAGTATCGGCGCCCTCATTGGCCCAGCCAGGCCCAGCTGTCGTCACCGTCATCATGCCAATCACCATCGGTATTATCATCATTGTTGCCACCGTGCCGATGTCATCATGATGTCGCGCCCGCCCGAATCACCGACCCTTTCTGCAGTGCCCGTGCGCCAGCGCGGCCCATCGGTCAGCGTCATCGCGGCCGCATCAGTGTGCCAAACCAGCTGGTCGCTGTGCGCGCGGGCATGCGCGTGCCAATGTTGCTTTAGAGAAGCGTCAACCGTGGCTGGATGCGCTTTGCCAAACAACTTGCGAGAGGGAGGGTGTAATGTTTGCGCGATCAGTGGAGATGACGACCTGAATGCCAGCACCAGTTCACTGTATATTGCACAACCCAGTTTGCGCCCGATTCGGTTCACCGCGTTGATTGCGCCCTACTTTTGTGCCACTCGTGTTACGCACCAAATATACATCGCATAATAGCGCCAGTTACTTTTCGCTGCACCTATTTCGCACCGTAAAACGCATCACCTAGATCGATAACCGAGGGTGCGAGAAATCACGGTTTGTGGTCCACGCTGGTAGGCAAGAGTTCCTAGCATCACTTGTTTTTGCGTCCGTGTATGCATATTGTATCTGTCTCTGTCTCGCTCTCCCTCTCGCTTCCCTCGCCTCCTCTCTTTTTTTATATCTATCTCTCTCTCTCTCTCTCGTGTCCTCTTGCCTCTCCCCTACCTTACCTCCCTCCTCCCTCGACCTTCCGTGCCGCTTCCTCCATTCCGCCCTCGTTTCTTCCTGTTCCTGCCCCTTCCGTCGTCTCTTCCCTCCTCTCTCCCCGGGCCGTGCTCGCCTCCCGACCTCCCCCCGGCAGCCCGCGTGTTTTTTTCACAGTTTCGGCACGGCGGTGCCAGGCCACGACCTGCCAGGCGCAGGCTCCCGTCCGTGTATTTCAAGAGAGTCCTGCTGGGACACCTAGATCGCCGGGGCGCCCAGGGGGGTCGGGGGCGGAGAAGAGGGGGGATGATGACTAGGGGGGGGTGGATATCATGTCGGGGGACGAAGTCTATACATATCCACTGCTCCCTGGCCAGGCCCATCCTGAACCCAGGAGCTGTGTATACGCCCTCCTGGCCAAACCAGGAGGGCGTGGCGTATACACAGCTGCTGTGTTCAGGATGGGCCTGGCCAGGGAGCAGTGGATATGTATAGATTGCGTCGCCCTATCATGGCGGGGGCCATGATATTTGCCCAGATTTCATGGCGCCTCTTCTTATTTCTTTACGTCCCCGGACCCCCCCCCGCTGGGCCGCGCACATGCCGCCGGTCATGATTTGCACCCCCCCTCTTGGACACCCCCCTCTTGGCCGCTCCCGACAGGGGGGAGGGCAGAGGGGACGGGCCTACTTCCCAGAAGGCTCGGAAGGCTTCAGGCCCTCTGAGACGCTTCCGAAAGCTTCCCCGAAGCCACGGGAGGGTCTCCCAGAAGGAAAAAATGGGCTCCCTTTCGCTTCCCCTCTCGGCGCGCCTCAGATCGGGGAAAGGGGTTGCGGAGGTGGGAGGAGGAGGAGGAGGAGGAGGAGGAGGAGGAGGAGGAGGAGGAGGAGGAG